AGCGAGTCATCGCATACGCGAGTCGGATGCTGTCTAAGGCGGAGAAAAATTACTCTACAACTGAAAAGGAGTGCCTTGCTGTCGTCTGGGCAATAACAAAGTTTCGCCCATATCTGTATGGAAGTCCTTTTCGCGTGGTCACGGACCACCACTCGCTCTGCTGGCTCGCGAGTCTGAAAGACCCCTCCGGACGCCTCGCCCGGTGGAGCCTACGACTGCAGGAGTTCGACATGACCTTTGTGTACAAATCCGGCCGGAAGCACAATGACGCCGACTGCCTGTCAAGAGCCCCTGTCGAGGCCGGACCTACCTGTATCGAAGACGACGACGATGAGTGTTTCCTCGGCGCTTTGGACGTCAGCGACATGGCAGCACTCCAACGAGACGACCCTGAACTGCGAGCGCTCATCGAGCACTTAGAGGGACAAGCGAGTTCGATTCCCTGTGCTTTCCTAACAATCCTGCATACATTTTCCAAGCGGCAAGGGGTACTGTACAAGGAGAACTTCGTCAACAACAACACAGCATGGCTGTTGGTTGTTCCTGCCAGCCTTCGAGATGAAATATTCCAAGGATGCCATGACGACCCAACGGCTGGACACCTTGGCTACAGCTGGGCGCTCGCCAGGATTCGAGAAAAGTACTACTGGCCGAGGTTACCGAAGACCGTTCACCTATACATTCGATCATGCCACGGGCGTCAGCGACGCAAGAAACCGCCGACGAAGCCGTCAGGACTTCTGCACCCGATTTCTCCCCCGTGTATGCCGTTTCAGCAGATCGGAATGGATTTACTTGGCCCTTTCCCGCCGTCAACGTCGGGAAACCGCTGGATTATCGTCGCCACCGATTATCTCGCACGGTACGCCGAGACGAAAGCCCTTCCAGCAGGCACGGCTGTTGAAGTCGCCAAGTTGTTGATCGAGTCCATCGTCCTCCGGCACGGCGCTCCAGAAGTTTTGATTACAGATCGCGGATCATCGTTCATGGCACAGCTGACCCAAGAAATCCTCCGACTCAGTCACACCAGCCACCGTCGTACAACTGCGTACCACCCGCAGACCAACGGGCTGACGGAAAGACTGAACAAGACAATCGCCGACATGATCTCTATGTACGTCGACGTTGAGCACAAGACGTGGGACGAGGTGCTGCCCTACGTCACGTTCGCCTACAATATGGCGGTTCAGGAGACCACTGGATTCACCCCTTTCCAGCTGGTACATGGTCGGAAGGTGACGACCATGCTGGACGCAATGCTGCCCCATGAGCCATCTGACAATCAAAGCGACGACGCCCAGGTGGTTGCTCAACGCGCCGAAGAAGTCCGCCAGCTCGCCCGACTCATGATTCAAGACCAGCAACGCGTCGACGCTGGCCACTACAACCTTCGTCGCAGGGACGTTCACTTCGAGCCCGGAGACATGGTGTGGGTGTGGACGCCCATCCGTCGCCGCGGTCTCAGCGAGAAGCTTCTGAAACGCTCTTTCGGACCCTACAAGATCATCCGACGGCTCGGCGATCTGAACTACGAAGTCCTTCCCGACGGAACGCGCCCATCTGCGAGACGTCAGCCGCGACCCGAGGTGGTGCACGTCGTCCGGCTGAAGCCGTATTACGAACGATAGAACGTTCTACTCTTGTCGACGAGTGAACTGTGAACTGGGAACTGTGGCTCGCGATTTTGCTGTCGTTTTTTTTTTGGATTTTTTTTTTTCGTTTTGTGCGGCATCGGCAGGATGTGCTTTTAAAGGGGGGGGGGGGGGATAATGCCGCGCTCAGGGTCACGGACTTCTAGAACTTTCTCGTTTATTCTTGCTCCGGACATAACTTCTATCGTTTATCCCTGCTTATGATGTTCTAGAAAGTGCGCGTTCATTCTCGCCCCGAGCGCGCTACGCCCGAACCTTCTCCGCCGAATCTTCGAGATAGTGACTCACTCTAGATAAAACGCCGCTCGCGACCTTGTCGAGTCAGTCTCGCCCTAGCGTTCGACTCTGCTGCTACGCCGACTTCGACGCCCGCGACGCTCTGTTATTATCTTTTCTACCCTTTTATTTTGGCACAAGTTCGCCACATTAAACATTTATTTCTTCCTGTTCATTTCTTGTTTATTGGTCACCACCCGTGACAATATAGCGGTTTCTATGATCCTGTGATCACTACCTAGCTCTTCCCAGAGGTTGAGCCATGAGGGGTTGCGAGTGTTTAGACACATGGAGAGGTCGGGCGAGGTGTCCGAGCATATCGAGTTTTCGACTCCGGTGGGGGGGGTAAAGTCGTTGAGCAGGTTGAGGTTCAGCAATTGGATTTTGTTGCGGAGGAAGTTGCCGTTGTGGGAGATGTATTTGTAGTCCCAGTCAGGGTGGGGAGCGTGGAAGTCGCCAACCAAGACTAGAGGACAGAGTCCCGCTTTGGAAATAGCTAAGTCCCAATCTTTTGCGAGCCTATACCCTCCTGCCACTTTCTCACGGGGGGAGCTGTATCCGTTGAAAACGAATAAGCTGTTTTGAGTTCGGTGTCTGGGAATAATGTCTACTCGCATGTTGCGTGAGCTCTTGTTGAGCGGGATTATCCTGGCCACCAATGGTTTCCTGACCAGGATCAGGAGACTGTTGGAGGAGTTGCTATGTTGGGAATCAGAAATATTCTTAAGTGTCTTGTAACCTTTGAGTCTCGGTGTGTCTAAGTTGTGATAGGTCTCCTGCAGTGCGATTACATCTGGTCGGGTGTGTATTCTGTATGAAGGTTTCTAGGACTGCCAATTTCTATTTGAAGTAATGACCATTCCACTGCCAGATTCTTAGACGGTGTTTGCGATTCTGCTTTCTGGTCATTATTGCTGGTTAGAGCTGGCTGACCCGGCTGTTGCGACAGCAACCGCTTTGCGCCTTGCTGGAGCTGATTCCTCTAGTACCGCGAGGCGGGCAGAGAGGGTGTTGATGACGCGAGCTAGCTCATCGTTGGAAGATGTCTTGACAGCCCGATTGCCTGGCGTGTGCTAGATTTCAGTGGGTTGTGTGTTCCTAGTCCGCGGTACATTGCCGCCGGCTTGTTTAGTGAGATCTGAGACTGCCTTGGTAAGTGTGTCTATTCTGATTCTAGGTTCTTGATTTTCGTGTTTAAGGTTCTCTATGGTTTCTTCTCTGACATCCCTGGTGTTCCGAGAGGAAACAGCATCACTCCAGCTCACCTTGTCTCTTCCTTGCGGGGCTCCTCCACCATTGCGGTAGGTGTTGAATCACGATGCCGAGCTCATTCTAGTTCTCTATGTAGATCTTGACTGTGATCTTGAGTTACGGTTGCTCGGGGTCTTAGACGGTGCCCTGCCTCGTCTCCTGGTTCTGAATCTGAAACGCCGTCTACCCTCGGAGCCTCCGAGGGGCGGGAAGTCTTCCTCCTTGAAGATTGCTCGTGGCGGTTGCCAGTTCTCGTACTGCTGTTTCTTGATTATATACGGTATGCGGAAGCGGGGAGGGCATTCCTTGCTTGCCGACTCGTAAGCGCCCCCCCACAGGATGCACTTGGGAGTGCAGGGGTGTCCTTCTTGATCGCCTTTCATTCCGCACTTGCCGCAAATCTTGTTAGTTGGGTCCGGGCAGACGTCTTGCCTGTGGCCGACTCGGCAACATTTCCAACACTTGTCGACTTGCTTTCTGTACAGCCTACACTCGAGAATGGTGTGACCATAGAAGACTGGGTATGGAACTCCGTCTCCTTGGAATAGTACACTCACCACCGTGGTGTTTCCGAGTCGGTGAGCATCCACCACCGTTGGGTTACGGTTCGTGACCGGCTTGCGTCTCATTTCATCGGCAGTTTTCGAGGTCGAAATACCCTTGATGACTACCTTGGCCGTGTCGTGCGGTGCGGCCACGTAGGTGTTCGTGGGTCTTGGTCTCTCTCCTAGCGTAATGGAGTCCACCCCTAACAGGGCTTGCATGATTCCTTGATCCTTTTAGCTTGCGACGACAATGCTCTGCCTAACATTGGGGCACATCGTGATGAGTCCCCACTTTTCTGCACGGATACCCGCCGCTTGAACGATAGCTGTAGTGATTACGGATCGAGGTGTAGCCATCTGTGATGATATGGGCTGAACAAACGACGAGGAAGACAACGCAGATGAACGCTGTCAACACATGAATAACCAAAGATGAAGAAGACTGCAAGACCGTATCAGGGAATGAGAATAAGAAAAAAGAAGAGGAGGACAACACGAGGAGAGTGAACGTCACACACGCTCGAGGCGCTCGAAAAAGGCGGTTGGGCATCGGCACCCGGCTCAACACCAGCGGTCCCGGCAGTCTAGGAAGATTCCGACGGGCGCCAACAGGCCGGTGGGGACTTTGAACCTGCACACCGTGGACCGCCGCCGTTAGCCAAGCTGCAGCCAGCAACCCTACGCCTGGGCCGACCCAGCCTGCCAGGCTCCTGAACCAAAACGTTACGACAACGAGGCGTCTTCTCGGCAATAACATCGTGTGGGCCGTAAGCGAAGTCGGCGGACTGAACTTTGTACATATTTTGATGACTCTTGTAACTTGTGTTTTCCTACTCTATCTGACTTTTATTTTTAATTCCTTACTCTGTAAATAACATCTTTCTTCTTACAACCACCGCTCCGGAATTCTGAGTTCCTTCCTTATCCATTCCCATCACAATCTGGCGTCCGCGACAGGACCTCTCTTCCTAACATCTTATAGAGAGCAGAATTCCAGGACGGTGCTGTAAGAGAAATGAGTATGGATCCGGAAAAGATAGTAGCTCTGGGTAAAGAACTGGGATATACTGGGGGAGAGCTTCGCGACTGGGTTGAGCAAGAACGCAACCGGCAACGCGAAGAACGCCACCTGTTACGAGACGAAGCACGGGAGTCAGCTAAAGAGGCACAGGACGCGGCTGATCGCGAGATCCGTAGATTACAACAGGAGCGGGAAGTGTTAGAACTGCGACTCCGACTGCGAGACAGTACCAGTTCAGATCGCAATGAAAACGAGATGGGTACCGGTGGGGCAGAAAATCAGGAAGCGCAAGCCAATTGTCGCAGCCCTCATAAACTCATTCCACCATTCAATGATAAACGAGACGACTTGGATGCTTTCCTCCAGCGTTTTGAAAGAGTCGCAAGCAGCCAAAACTGGCCTCCTGCCAAATGGGCATTGTCATTAAGCTTGTGCCTCACCGGCGAGGCCCTGACTGTAGTTGGCAGGATGACTCCTGAGGAGTCCTTAGACTACGCAAAAGTCAAGCTAAGCCTGCTACAGCGGTTTCGCTATACGACCGAAGGGTACCGCGAGAAATTCAGGGATGGCAAACCCGAAGATGCGGAGACAGGGAGACAGTTCGCGGCTCGACTATTGGGATACTTTGACCGTTGGATCGAGACAGGAGAAACCCCTAAGACGTATGAAGGGTTAAGGGACCTGATAGTCTCAGAGCAGTTCCTGAAGAGATGCAACACAAAGCTATCTATATTCCTAAAAGAAAGAAACTGCAGGTCCCTGGAGAATCTGGCGACAACCGCAGACCACTTTCTTGAAGCACAGGGACAGACTAGCCTCTTTAAATTGAGAGATGATTCGGACCACAAGAGTGGAGGCTGTGGGAAAGAAGGCAATAAAACACAGCATTCTATAAGGGTAGCCAGTCGATGCTACCTCTGCAACAAACCTGGTCATAGAGCAGCCGATTGCTGGACGAGTTCCAAGGCTCCGCGTCCTTCTGCGTGTTGGAGGTGTGGAAAGGCTGGGCACAAAGCAGAAGCTTGTAACTGGAAGTCAGACCGAGAAAAAGACAAGGCTTCCCAGGCTTCCTGTGTGTTAACGACCGCTGACGAAACCGAATCAGAAAAGGCTTATGTCTTGTTAAAAAACGGGGACAAAATCCCAGTAGTAAATATGGCAGTTGGAAAACCTCCACGTTTCTTAGTAGACGATATGCCAGTGGTGAGAGGAGAAGTGGGAGGTCGAACGGTAACGGCCCTCAGAGACAGCGGCTGCAACACAGTTGTTGTAAAAAGAAGCCTGGTTCCAGATAACAAGCTAACTGGCTTTTCCAGTCCAGTTTTTCTTCTGGACAGGACGATTAAATATTTACCAGAGGCGGAGATTGAAGTAAAAACACCATACTTCACAGGCAGCTTGGTGGCGAAGTGTATGGATAACCCGTTATATGACTTGGTACTCGGAAATATTAAAGGAGTGAGGAGGATCGATGATCCCGATGAAGAATGGGATTGTGACAGAGGACAAATAGTGTCTAAAGCGAGAGAAGCGGAAATCGAAACTGATCAGACGGCAGTAGGAGGAGAAACTGCTAAAGAACTCGCGATGAGCGAGAAACGTGAAGAGAAAGACTGTAAGGTCTTGGAGAAAGTAAGTGATTGCGCAGGGGCGCTAGGAAAGGCGCCAGGCAAGAAAAACATTTCCGAGTTACCAGTCATGTCGGTGGAGCCAACAGAAGTTGATAAAAGAAAGCTGAGAATGGCTCAGGAGAACGACGAAACGCTAAATAAGTGCTTTGCTTCCATCGGGAGAAAGTTCGGTTCAGAAAAGGCACACGAATCGGAATTCGTGTTACATGACGGAATCCTCTACAGGAGATATCGAACACCGTCCCGTAAGGAATGGGAACAGTTAGTAGTACCAAGAGACTTTCGAATGATCGTGCTCAAATTGGCACATGAAGGAATTATGGCCGGCCATCAGGGAACAAAGAAAACCACTGATCGTGTACAAGAAGAATTCTACTGGCCGGGAGTAACGGCAGAAATAAAACGATTTGTAAAATCGTGTGACATTTGCCAGAGGACTGTTCCCAAGCACTTGGTGGCCAGGGCGCCCCTTGGAACCATGGAAATCATAGGGACACCCTTCCAACGAGTCGGCATAGACATCATCGGACCAATCAAGCCGAGTTCAGAAAATGGCAACAGATATATATTGACGATGATTGATTTTGCCACCAGATATCCAGATGCTGTCGCCTTGAAGAGCATGGAGACAACAGAGGTTGCAGAGGGCCTTCTTCAAAAGTTTTCACGAGTAGGCCTACCCCAAGAAGTCCTAAGTGATCGGGGGTCCTGCTCCACGTCAGGCTTGATGAAGGAGATCAGTCGCCTGTTATCGCTGAGACAGTTGACTACCACGCCCTACCATCCTATGGGTAATGGACTTGTCGAGCGGCTGAATGGGACATTAAAACAAATGATTCGGAGGATGTGCCAAGAAAAGCCACGATGCTGGGATCGGTACCTGACCCTGTTGCTTTTCGCATATCGGGAAGTCCCACACAGTAGTTTGGGGTTCTCCCCGTTTGATCTGCTTTACGGGAGATATATTCGGGGTCCCATGGCAGTTTTAAAAGAACTGTGGACTAACGAGAACATCGACCCTGAGACGAAAACAACCTACGGGTACATGGTCGATCTTTGGAAGAGGCTGGAAGACACGTGCAAAGTTGCCCACGAAGAACTAAGAAAAGCCCAGAAGACGCAAAAGGGATATTACGACAAGAAGAGTCGTGTACGCGAACTGCAAGAGGGAGATCCAGTGCTGATCTTGTTACCAACTGACAAAAATAAACTGATTCTGCAATGGAAGGGACCATTCCGAGTGGTGGAGAGAAGGAATGAACTGGATTACGTAATAGACCTTGGAGGAAAGACGACATTATTCCACGTCAATATGCTCAAAAAGTATGAGGAGAGAGAAGTTCTGGGCGCTCCTGAACAAGTCTTGGCTGGCCTCGCAGTAGAAGAGGAAGGTGAAGAACAGGAGGTCCCCCATGTCGGCCTTCGGCGTCAGCAAGACCACAATGATGTGCGGAAATCAGAAGAACTCTCAGAAGAACAGGTCACAGAGGTGGAAGAATTGCTAGAGTCGTTCCAAGAAGTATTCTCGGATCTTCCGGGTCGAACCAATCTCGTAAAATGCCAGCTGAAACTAACAACAGATGTGCCAGTTCAAGTTCGACAGTACCCCCTCGCCTTTGCGCTACAGGAAGCAGTAGAAAAAGAGATAGGTGACATGCTGAGTCTCGGCATAATTGAGAAATGCGACTCGCCCTACAACTCACCCGTGGTGGTAGTAAAGAAGAAGGACAAGACGACCCGATTATGCATCGATTTTCGACAACTAAATCAGGTGCTCGTACCTGATTGCGAACCGATACCCCGAGTCGACATGATGTTTGCTCAAGTCAGCACAAAGAAGTACTTTTCCAAATGTGATTTTGCGAAAGGTTACTGGCAAGTGCCAATGGCACACGGATCGGAGGACGCGACTGCGTTTTCAACGATGTCAGGGTTATATCGTTTCAAGTTCATGCCCTTCGGCATAAAAACAGCCCCAGCTGTATTCACTCGTTTAATGAGGGAAGTCCTGGATGGAGTACCAAACACACATCATTATTTTGATGATGTACTAATCGCAACTTCCAACTGGGAGGAACACGCGAAAACCCTGAGACAATTTTTAACGAGGGTAAAACAAGCTGGACTTACCATCAAGCCAAAGAAGACAGAGATCGGCTTCTCCCGGATAACATTTCTCGGACATCGAGTAGGACAAGGAACGTTTGAGCCGTTAACCGAGACTTTGGAGAAAATTCAAGGCGCTAAGAGACCGCAAACAAAGACGGAAGTCAGATCGTTCCTAGGATTAACGGGATATTACCGGGAATTTATTCCCCATTACGCTGAGACGTCGCTCCCTCTAACGGAACTGACAAAGAAAAAAGCACCCATCAAAGTCATCTGGGAAGACAAACACGCCAAAGCTTTTGAGGAGCTAAAGAAATCCCTCTCCAACAAACCGATTTTGAAGTCTCCGGATCTTTCGAGGGCTTTCATCCTGAGAACAGACGCTTCGGGAAGATGCTTGGGTGCTGTGCTAATGCAAGAGCACGATCGGATGATGCACCCTGTTGCGTATGCTAGCCGGCAGTTGTTGCCGCGAGAAGTTGCATATTCAGCAATCGAGCGAGAGTGTCTCGCCCTTCTATGGGCGGTGCAGAAATTTCACCTATTTCTGTTTGGAAAACACTTCACGGTTCAAAGCGACCATCAACCCTTACAATACATTCACTCTGCCAAACAACTCAACAGTCGCGTGCTGCGATGGAGTCTGCTGCTGGCTGAATACGATTTTCATGTCATGTACATTCGGGGCAGTCAGAACTTTGGGGCTGACTATTTGAGCCGACTATAATACGCTTCCGTAAAGGATGAGATTACTCAAATAGTTGTGAGTGCATCTATTTAGGTGAAACAATTGTTTTTTTTTCCTTTTCCAAAGTGTGTAACATTTTGGTCTTTACATTGTGTTGTTCGATCTTATTTAAACAATTGTCTTTAAAAGGGGGGTGAATGTGATGATATGGGCTAACAAACGACGAGGAAGACAACGCAGATGAACGCTGTCAACACATGAATAACCAAAGATGAAGAAGACTGCAAGACCGTATCAGGGAATGAGAATAAGAAAAAAGAAGAGGAGGACAACACGAGGAGAGTGAACGTCACACACGCTCGAGGCGCTCGAAAAAGGCGGTTGGGCATCGGCACCCGGCTCAACACCAGCGGTCCCGGCAGTCTAGGAAGATTCCGACGGGCGCCAAAAGGCCCGTGGGGACTTTGAACCTGCACACCGTGGACCGCCGCCGTTAGCCAAGCTGCAGCCAGCAACCCTACGCCTGGGCCGACCCAGCCTGCCAGGCTCCTGAACCAAAACGTTACGACGACGAGGCGTCTTCTCGGCAATAACATCGTGTGGGCCGTAAGCGAAGTCGGCGGACTGAACTTTGTACATATTTTGATGACTCTCGTAACTTGTGTTTTCCTACTCTATCTGACTTTTATTTTTAATTCCTTACTCTGTAAATAACATCTTTCTTCTTACAACCACCGCTCCGGAATTCTGAGTTCCTTCCTTATCCATTCCCATCACACCATCAGATTAATTCCCCCGCCAGGGCGAATGATCACTTTGGTTTCATCCTTCGGGAGTCGCGGCATACGGCTCGAATTGAGAATCTTCGTGAGGAGATTTCGTCTCAGTCCTTTTGAATCTCGCGCCGATTCCGGCTCCGATCTTGCTCCTTTCCGTGGCGCTCCAGGCACCTGCCAGCCAGCAGTTGCACCTGCTTCACCCGGTGAAAGGGCGTCCCCGTCGACCATCATGGCCGTCCTTCCGTCCACGTAGGTCGGGCCCGCCATAGCCCTCTTGGCGGCGGCGGTAAACCGTTAAGGGCCATACGCACATAAGCGTTTGAACGCGTTTGAGTGCGTTGCGGAGTCCTTGCGGCCAGGCGCGGTCGCTTGCAGAGCGACGCGCGCCTTCCCGCAACGCTCGGTAGCGCGACGCAAGCGAGTAGAGACTCGCTCAACTTTCCGAAGCGTTGCGGTGCGTTCGGGTGCGTTCGACCAATCAGAAGCCGAAAGAGGAGAGGGGGTGACGTGTTCGCTCGCCCCACCCGGCCGACTCGGCGAGACGTATCCGGTTCGCCGGTCGCAGTGCTTGCTTTTTCGTTTTCGGGAGCGGTGGGGACTGTATTCTCCAAGGCTGCGATGGTTCAAGCTTGACAAAACGTCGAGGAAGCCGGCGAGATTGTCCCAAGATCGAACACCGACGCTGTCGCCGTGCGCCGCCATGTTGCCTTGGATTTCGCTTACTATTGGTGAGCCACTAGCGACGATAGCGCGTTCTTATTGGCTCTTGACTGCGGTTGACTGCGTGTCAACGCAACTGTGCGTACAAGCTTGGCGGAAGCGGTCTTCGCAACGCAACGCGTCCGCTTGCCGCTACGGAACGCACCGCGCTCAAACGCGAATGTGCGTATGGGCCTTTAGGCCGAGCAGCCGAGGATTGCTAAGCCTAACCGCTCTGTCGAGACTTCAAAGTTTTGTAGAATGGCAGAAAAGTCCTCAGAGTGGCCACTCGTGTCGCTTCACTTGTTGCGTCCAGTAGCGATCACTTTCTTGGTTCCCGGCGTCACAATTCGCAGAAAACGGGCTCAGAAAACGGAGCGATGCGGAGCCACATCCACTCGCCTCGGCACCCTGGCGGCCTTTTTCGGGAGAGGGAGAATTGAGGTAAAAGTGAACAGAGGGCACTGTAGGAGATTGAGAAAATTAAAGAAGAGGGGAGGAGAGGTGATTACAGTTTGGTGGGTCACAAAAAATTCACCATTAAATTCTGCAGTGAAACTGAATTTTTCCGGTGACAAGGAGTAAAAGGGAGATATGGAAAAAAAAGGAGGGGTAGGAGGAGGGCGCCGTGGAAGAATGTGGAAAGGATAGGAAGAAGATGGGGAGGGGAGGAGCGGTAGAGAATCGGACGCAGTTGAAAAGGAGAGATGGCCAAGGCACTGTGGCAGGTTGGGCTAGTTGTAGCTTTGTAAAAGTGTAAAAAACAGCGCGAACACCGACACTGACAGAGAAGGTGTACACACGCGGAACGCTGACTTTGAGCTGAGGAAGGAACGGAGATGAGGATGACACCGCGGGAGGCGGGGATGGGAAGAGAGAGGGAGGGAAGACAGGGATGGGGTGGGGAGAGGAAATTGGTGTGTCACGCGACGTATGAAGCCTTTTTGTTTACCTTTGTTCCCAGTCACGCGTTGACAAATCCGGTATGCGAGATGAAAGCAAGGCATTCTAACCTGGAACTAGTAAAATAATATGGAAACGCCAAAACGAGAATGATAGACATTGGCGGTTAAACCGAGAGATCCCCTTAGTGGTGGGGCGACAGCAAACGATGTTTCTCACATACCAAAAGTTCCGCAATTCTAGGTGGTGACGTCCGAGTAGAAATGTTCCACATTTCCCCACTAAATTTATCGGGGAAAATAAATCTTGTAGATGTCACGTGGCGTCGTCATGACAACTTCCCCGCAAAACTTATGGGGGAATCCTACTTGGTCTTTAGTCCACGTCCATTTCCCCTCTAAAACTTTGCGGGCAAACCGAAATTAACATATAGGTCACGTAACGTCAATGCTTTAACTTGTTGTAGCGGTCACGTGACCTCATGAGAATTGGCGTCTATTTTCCCGCAAGATTTAGCGGAGAATGCATGAACGGACGAGCAGACGGACGAATGGACGGAGGACGGATGAACGGAGAGACAAACCTCTGCGGTCGAAGAGAGAGGGCTTTGTAAAAGAGCATTTCATGCCTAAAAAGGAGTGAAAGTGCGATCACGGCATTCACCACTTGAACGTTTCGCCAAGTCCGAAATCCAGCCATTTAATCACGGTGTCTACAATGAATCATTCACTGTAATGAGCAAGTCACTTACCTTGTACATAGAATCAATTCGAAAGTGCGTGCAGCTCGCTCCGAGGCTGTAATGTTGAGGATAATCTTTTCGATTCTGCTTCGTGGACCAAACAGTGGCCATTGAAAACGACACCATGAGTTGTCGCTGGGTGAACTGTTGTTTCCATTTCACATAGTCCAAAGCATCCACCTGCGGTAATATGATGAAATTAAAATAAACCTCTGTAAGGTTATGCTCGCCTCACTACGACGCCGCCATATGCCACTTTTTCCCGTCTCCTGTCCCATGGACTTCTTTATTTACTTATTATTCAAGGGTAAAATAGCAAATATTCTTTAGGCGGCGATTTACTTCTGAGGTGCGATTTATTTCTCTTTCCCAATGTGACGACGCCTGTTCCACGAAGCAAACTGACGCAGAGAAAAGGCCAGGTATATTTCAAAATTAAGGTTAATTCGCTTTTCGACGAGTTCACTGACTTGCCTTTTAAGAGTAAGAGTAAGTTTCCAAGCTCTCAATGTCTCGTAAAACAGTCACCATGGCGGTAGTAGGTGCTCACCACTCTTGCAGTGTTCACCTATTACTGCCCCCTACTGTACATTGCCACGCGCGTCGCCGAGTGAGTATGCGCGTGCGGGGGGAATGGTTACAGTGCTTGACTTTCGCGAAGAATTTATAGGCTCGATTCCAGTCAGCGGAATGTTGTTTTTTTTATTTTTTCAACTTGGCGTTCTTGTAAGTTCGAGAGCATTGTTGTGTGATCGAGTTCCGAGTCTTCTACGCTCCGAAAGTTCTGCGCCGAATGTTCCCGAAGCCCACGCGTGTACATAAGGTGCTCCGCGTGGCGAGCCGGAGTCAGTCTCGCCCCAGTGTTCAATCCTGCTGTTTCGCCGCCATCGACGCCTGCGACTCACGCGTCTTTATATTTTGTTTTGGGCGCAAGTTCGCCCCATTAAACGTTTAGTTTGCGTCAGTTTTCGTCGCCTCACCAATTGTCATTTGTGACAAAATAATATTTAGAAGTTGAGTTATATAGTGTTTGCCACTCTTGATAGTTTCATTATCGTTGGAAGGGACCTTAATCTTCCGAACATGGTTAGTGCCACTGCCTCCAGCATCAATCAATCGTTTTTACTTTTTATACATTTTAATTACTTCATTGTTTATCTTTTCTTACTTGGTCAGTATGTTCTATAAAAAAAAAAAACTATTTTCGGTCCTCACTGACCAATATCTCGTGTTTCTTTCCTTTATGAATTGTATCGAAGGTATAAGTGCACCGCGCCGTTGTGGGTGATCTCTTATAGAGCAGGACGAACAGGTTTCCAATACTTCGATATGAGGTTTTGCTATGTGGGCAAGGTAATCCAAAGAGGATTTTCTGTGAACTTTTGAGAATATTGCCTTCTTTATGAACTTCAGCGTAGAAAGAGGTCTTCACTAGCCATGAAAATTGTTCACAAAAAAAATTAAGAAACTGACCGAATCTCGCATACAATCCAAGATCTTCCAAAGAAATAAACGAGAAAAACCGTGGCTTTCACTTCCTGTGTAAAGACAAATTAATCTAAACTTTATGCAAATAAGAAACATTAATCAAAACACGTCTGAGGCTCCTACACAACGCTCAAAAACATTCCAGAGCACATAAGAAAGATGTAACGAAAGCAAATGATGTTCCATTAGTCTTTTCACGACAAACTGAAAAATATCGAAAATAATTTTGGAATATTGTCATTAATGACAATTAATGAGAAACCTATGGGCAGACAGAAACTAAGCGTTTAATATGGCGAGCTCGTAAAAACATATTGTGTAGTTACCGCCAGGAGCGCGCTACTTAGCTTATAGTGGCAGCGCGCGTGTCTGTCTTTTTTGTCGCTGCCTATGACACGTGCCCTTTGGAATAGCACAAGAGCTTCTGTTTCTTGTTCCTTGGTCCTTGGACTAAACGTTCTTTTCATGGTCCTCCGGTCTTTCATGTCTGCTGCCCAGTCAGAATACGACAACTCGGAAACGAGGAAGCTTCTCTGACATGCGCGGAAGCCGACATTGCAACGGGTGACCCGGTAGCAACGGCAGCAGTGCCGCAAGTCTTCGCTCGACTGGGCTTCGTCGAACCTGTCGACAAATCGGCCAGCAAGTGGCCGTCGTATGAGGAGCGACTGACATCGTTTCTCACGGTCAACAGAATCGGCGAGGACGACAAGGTACACGCACTTCTGAGTCTTATAGGCTGGAAAACCCAAAAGACTTAAGTGATTGACCCCGCCAGAGTTGCCAGCAAAAAAACGTTCGACCAACTTAAAGAAAAAAAGTTAGAAATACACCTAAGCATTTCCGATGAGCCGTGCATAGGAAAGCATGCAAGGCGCTCGTCCGCATTCTTCTTCGTCTGCAGCGTCCTTTTCGTCGCCGGTCTGCGCGCGTGCTCCCTTGGGCTCGCTGATAAATACGCAGCGTCATGGGGTAAGCGGTCATTGAAACTGGCGAGCACAGCGGCCAATGGGAGCCCAGTGGACGCGCGCCCGCCAATAGAACCGAAGGCGAAGTCCATCAGCTTTATTTACTTTGCTCCTTCGGGAGCAGGGAATCTACGTGCCGTTTTCGCGCTTCAAAATGATGACATCAGCTTCCCTATGGGACAGTTAATACTTTCGCATTAAAAATGATTTTGGGGGCCACCTGACACCGAAACCATCGGCAATCAGCGAGTGGGCAAAATTTCACAGAAGAATGGAACTCGAAAATGAATCTGTAGCAACGTTCGTTGCAGAATTACGTTAGTTGGCAGAAACCTGCGACTTCGAAGCATCCTCGGACCAGTCTCTGAGGGACCACTTTGTGTGCGGTTTACGAAGAGAGGACACTCAGCGAGTGTTGTCCCCAGAATCCAACAAGTTATCTTTTCAGAAAGCCATAGCGACAGCACTGGCCGTGGAGGCAGCGAAAATGAACGCAGCAGAAACACATGCATCGGAACCTTGCGTGCCGGAAGTATGCCAGCCGGATATGTGCGCGTATAGCGGATATCTGTTTCAAGTGTAACAAGAATATTCATATTCAACAAATGTGTCTTGCCGACAAAGAAAAGAAACAGAATCGGACGCCGCGTAAAATGGTGAAGAAATCGGTTCTTGTTCAAGCACCAGTTAGCGTGAAGGAAATGGCTACGTATGGTTTGGAACCAATTAAAATCAGGATACAAGTGCCTTAAGTTGGCTTGAAAATGGAATTCGACACAAGGGTAACAGTTTCTGTAATGTCATTGTAGCAGTTTCGTCAGCTATATACTTCAACCAAGGTTATGGCAATGCCACTTAAGCTACGCGCGTTTAAATGAGACAAGAGGAAACATCGTCCAGGCTGTTGATGTCTATTGATTGGGGGTTTATGGAACATCAGCATCTAAGGCTATAATGCGCCAAGAGTCTGAACTATTGCAGTGGAGGGTTAGAGAGAAGAAAGGGCTGTAGTCGCTGGCGATGTTATAAAACTATTGACATGCATTTGTATAAGTGTAAAAAGTATGATCATGAGTTTGGAGTGGAAAATAAAAATCACAGTCGGTGTATAAGGCCGATATCAGTGAGAAACTTAAATAAGCAATCATGTGAAATAAGTGGTTCATCGCCTAGAAGCAGAGCTAGGTGCAGTGGGAGATGTTCTCTATATAGTTGTGAGAAGTGTTTCTGACGGTATTGATCATATCTGTGACATTCAATTAGGATGTGTAAAACGCTTAAAGTTATGTTACAGTGTTCACATACTGAATCATCCTCCCCACTCAAAAGGTGCCCATATATGAGACTTGTATGACCTATTCGTAGCCGACTAGGACCACTTCGTAGAAGCGCTCCCGATGCCGGGCACTCTCCCATTCACTTATGAAAGGTTTTACTGCGTGTAATTTGTTGTACATTTCAGTATTCCGCTGAAGTTGCTACTTTGACCGAATGCGCCGTTTTAAAGGGGTACGGAAACGAAATTTTAGCGCCGATCTTTCTGCATAAATATGGGCTAGGGACAGTCACCACCTCGGAAATATCAATATCGCGCTGTAAAACACGGAAGAACTAATTTTAAAACTTATTAAACGATTTCAAATTCACATCTGGTGGAGGACGGGAAAGTTCTCGTGACATCACTTGTGGTAGGAGCGGCCCCGTTCTGCGGCAATACGGCGTGCCGGCAGAATTAGCCTAGGCCTGAACGCATTTGCAAAGCCTTGGCGGAGAAAGCCAAAGCGTAGTTGGCCACAGTGAGCTCGTTCTCGTTGCGTCACGACACGACCCGAGCATACTTCTGGCACGGCCGCCGGCCGGTATTAGTTGCTGCGAGTCGCGAGCCGACGTTAAAAAAATAGGTTTGAACTACCAGAGTGTCAGCAAGAGCCACGCAAATACCTGTTCACACTCGGAGCGGACACGCGCGTTTGATCGAAATGCTGGATTCGCTCTGTTAGACCGCGTTTCGGTACGCGTTTCTGGACCGACCTTTTACGATTGCAACCCGATACTGACATGACACTCGGCAAAGAAAGGTTGGACCGACATCGCGTAGCTCCCCCGAACTGCTATAGCTCGACAGTGACGTAGCGTCGTGTCAGAATACAAATGGCATACTAATAACAAAGTGTTCATAGCGTGTTGCGAAGGTAATCCGTATGGCGTTTATTTGAGCTCTATGTCACACAAAACGAGGAGATAGAATCAATGAGAGTCCCTTTTCGACGACAGCGTTCCTCACCGCTGTCTCGGAAAACAAGAAGATCGAGATGACAAGGGGAAAAGATTGACCCCTGAAATTTAGTTCAGGGATCAAACTATTCATCCGGGAAGGGTCCACAAGGGTCTCGCGGGCATATTCCATTCAACAGGCCAGCCGATCATGGGCAGACGGTCTTGGCCAAGGACCGCCGGAGCAACGGTGCGCCGAGTCGGTGTTGCTGCTAGGCCTACTATATTCTGCCGAGCTCGCTTGGTCGGTAGAATCGTGGCCGCTGTAGATCTTCTCGAGTGTTTGTGGATCCTGCGTTCTTGATCGTCATGGTCTGTTTCACGTACTCCTTCCTTTTTTCTTGCTGGTTGAAGTCGGGACGCACGGGAGGAGCACGTAGAAAAATAATTGGCCGTTGGACGTTGCTACCAAGTAACTGAGTGACGCTGTCGGCCATGTTGATTTGATCG